TGGCAATAAGGAGTGGGATAGAAAAAGGAAGCATGATGCTTTCTATTGCTGGTTCATTTAGCATAGAGACCTCCTGGCATTCCTATCTGCCACCAGGAGATACTTTTCATTGGTTTCTTGTAACTGTTTAGTTTTCTGGAAAGCTGTTGTCCCAATCCCGCAAAAGGTAAAGGGATAGGAGCTGAGAACACAAGGAGGAAGTAAAAAAAACGATGTATTAGGATTTAACCACACATTTTTTTTTTCTGTTTACTTGGTCGGATTTATTGTGATTAATCGATTATTGAAATAATCGGCAACTAATTCAGTAATCGATTAATCGTTAACTGTATAGAGACTCTAAAACATGCCATTATCTGATGGAGCGACCCACTTAGAGCAGCAATTATACCGAGATTGTAAAAACCTATACAAATTTTACATTTAAGATTAAAAACAATAATAATTGTCAATATGCTCTATCTCAAGTGGAAATTTCACCCGTTTTATCTTTGTAAAAAGTCTTCCTAAGGAACATTTGGCTATCCGATTATTAATCGATTAATCAGAAAAACAACTGACAGATTAATCTATTAGCAAAATAATCATTAGTTGCAGTCCTACTGTTTACCCTTCCCTGTGTCCTTCTTTCTTTTATTCCACCTTTCTTGCCCTTGCTCCTTCCTTGGGCCCTTCTTTGATTCCCTATGTCCTTGTCTTCTTTGTCATGTCCTACATCCTTCCCTTCTCTCAATTCACCCTTTCCTCTATCCCTTAATATCCTTTATTTCTCTCTCCTGTGATTTAGATATTTTTTTGCTGACCTGTCATGCAAAATCCAAAACTCCACTGAGGTTTTTTTTTTTTAGTTTTTTGGTTTCAAACTTTAAAATGGAAATAAAGGCCTGAAATATTGAGGCTGGAAATGTTTTGAAACATGTAGAAACTGCAGGACTCCACAGAAAAAGAAGAGGGAAAAAGAAACAAAGTAAAAAGAAGCCAAAAAAAAAAGATATATCTCAAAACTCTTGAAATACTTAGGTGGCTACCAGTGCTTACAAGTTAGTACAGCTCCCTGGGAGCTAAATAAATGAAATATAATAAGCACAATAGCTCAACATGTTTGCACAGTGCTTCATGTCCTGAAGACTGAACATGGCATCGCTGTGCAGAGGGGAGTGATGGAAAGCAGTCGGTTATCTTAGAATGAAGCAAATCACCCCTGGAACGTCTCCTGCAAATTTTCTGCTGAAGTTTTATAAATTTATCCCTTTTTTTGCACAGTGTCACATTGGGTCATAATTTGTTAGAAGATAAGATCCCTTGAAAGGCTCGGTGTTACTGGTTACGTGGATTGGTCTTTATCAGTGACTCTTTAACGCAGCAGCATGACTGTTGTCGGTGATTAGGTGAGATACAAAGCTCTGAACAACAGGTTCAAACCTTGGGTCTCACATTCATAGGTATGTTGGCTTTTTTTTTTAAGCATTATTATTATTTAAGCATCACTTATTGTAAAGCAGGCTGACTAATGCAGGATTCATCTTGTGTCCTCCTGGACTAGGCGGATGGGGCATGAATGGGTGAGAATGAGCCATAACGCCACTAAACTGGTTGGACAGAGGAAATATTGCTCCTTGACAAAAATTGAATGATGAAATACCCACATTTGTTTGCTAAACATCATTGTGTCTCTCTCTCCATCTAATCACATATGAGCTTTTAACCCCCAAGAAAGAAGTTGAGGATTAACTGAGCATTGTGAAATTATGCATTCTCCTACCCATACCATTAAAGTAAAACAATGCTGGATCCATGATTCCACGTTTGCTTGAAATTCTTACGCTTGGTTTATGCTTGACACGTCCGCGAGAAATTACGCCATTTTGGGCTTCCACTCCCCCCGTGCGGATACAATTTCAGATCATCAAGGAAAACATGGAGAGCGAGCAGCAGCTCCTGATGGCGAGGGAATGTAGAGATCTACAGGTATCTTGTGATTTGGCTCATAAATTAGCCACTATCATCGCATTGTAGAAAAAAACTCCAGGGAAGAAGATGACTGTTGCTCAAACGGCAAGAAGAGGCTTTGATAATGCTGTAACCGGCTTTATCAAAAATATGTGGGTGTCACAGCAAGAGCACAGCGAGACAACAGGAAGATGGGAAGAATATTTATTAATGGTAATAACAGTGAAAAAAAAGGACATAAGAAAGGAAGGGAATTAAGATGGACACAGTAGACCCAGACCAGCGGTCGTTTTTCTAGTGTGTTGCCACCTGGTTTTAGGTCTGTGGGAATTGAAGCCGACTGGTTTGTAAACTAGTGTGACCTTTTGCTCCTGGGTTTTCTCCATTTCTCAGTCACTGATGCTGTTCCTCATACCTTGGTTTTAACACTGACCCATTTGAGCTACAGTTACCCCTTGGACATCAAAAACAAGTTAGCACATTGTCCGGTGACCTCTAGCATCAACATTTTTGAAATACTCTGACCCACCCATCTAGCACCAAGAATCACGTGTTCAAACTACCCCCCCACCCCCACTGTCTTTCCTGCTTTAATGCTCTTTAAATTTCAGAAAAACGCCTCTGCCGCTTCAGGTAGTGCAGTATTTTGATAGCAAGCAAACAAATTAAAGTCCTTATCGAGATTCCAAGAAAAAAAAAAATTTTTCTATGTAGCAGGCGGTTTAATAAAGGGGTGTCAAACCGGTTCCTGAAAGGGCCATGTGGCTGTTGGTTTTCTTTCCAACCAAGCAGTAGCACAGTCATCTCATCAAGATTTTCTCTTTCTCCTACACTTGTTTATTTTAGTCATAGTAGAAGAGGAGACAGCATTCTGAACTTTGACAGAAACAGTGGGGAATCAGTATGAGAACAGCGGCTGAGAGAGACCAGCTCTTCTGGTGTTAAGGAACCAGAGTGTTAGGTTGGAGGAGCCTGCTGGGGAAAGAAGGCAGCTCAAGAGGAGAGGGGAGGAGCACTGAGGATAGCTGACTGAGGCTATCAAGGCTAAAGACCAATATATGCTTCTGATGCATAGCCTCTACAACCGTCAAATCTGTCTCTGTGCAGCGGTTCTGCAACCGTCATTGCGCACCTCAAAACAATCCTGACTATATGTCGGACAGTCACAAACCCACGCAGACCTCAAGTGGAAGTACGCAGACAACAAGCAGCTGCGATGGTCCTTGGTATTCCTTTCCGGCTGTCTGTGTGGTTGTCCTTCTCGATCAGGTGTCGGGGTGCGGCATTTTTAAAGACTGAGGAACAACTACAATGGACAACTATGACGAAAGATTAATCGAGGAGGTTTGGAAGTACAACCAATTGTACGATGCCTCAGATAAATTATATAAAGATGCCAAGGTCTCTCCCAAAACAAAGTTCTCGTGACCATCCGCCGAAGTTCTGGCGAGTTCTCGAATAGGCTCCCCCTTGTGCTTTGGCGGGAAACATTGCTTATCTCTTCTACTGGGATGGTAAAACATTTTTGTTCTTTTTTTAAAGTGTATTAGTCTTAACTCTCACCTGGTGCTGACTTCACAATTGTTCATGTTGTTGTTTCTGGTTGTGAACTTGTGAACGGACTCCAACTATTAACAATACTAATAAAAATGTTGTATTTCTTTGCAGTTTGTACCTTTAAAATATTTAGCAATTTGGGATGCAAATGATCAATTAATTGCTAAATATAAAGCTGATTGATCTTATTGACTTATGATGTATCAATAAGCAAACATTTCCTTCTTTTTTTCTTCGTAAAAAAACAGCAACCTAGCAACCCAATGAGGATAAATGTAAAACTCAATAAAAGACTGACCAGCTTATGCAATTATCATGTATCTCTCTGTTTTAGTGTAATCTAACAACCAGCAGTTGGAGAGACTTCACATTGTAATTTGTGTTAATAGACGGGTGGTTCTTGTTCTCTTAGGAATGTAAGAACTTGGCCCCATAAAGGGCATTAACACACAAAATACATCCCCATCTACCATGCTTATTAATAGTATGTCTCTTTACAGCTGATTTTCATGATGTCCTCCACTTATCAATCATCAAATCCTTGCTTTCGGCACACAGCAGAGAAGTTAAGGCAGCTCCACCATGCAGTTCAGCTAAATCAGTGCTGTTTAGGTGATAACCTGAGTAGTTTATCCAGTATTTATATTTACAAATGGAACCAAATAAAGTGCATTCTGCATACCTGTCACCATTAAACAGTGTAAATAAGACCTAGAATGTGGACTCATGTTTCTGCTTCAGCATGTCTCTGCATGTCTCTTCCCTGTGTTTATTTCTCTTGGAAATACCAGTGAAACTCCGCCTATGGATTGAAAAAGCAAATTAAACCAAATTAACCAAGCACCGCAAAACCTAATCTTGTCATACATTGCCGTCAACATGTCACGGCTCAATAAGCAGGAAGTAGGTGCTGCAATGTAGCCTCTCTGACCACAGATCAGTAATGGAGGAAGGTTTTAATCAAGTTGTTCTTACGTCAACATGTCACTTAGTAATGGCAATGCTGCTTCCAGCCATGTCTACGTGCACAATGGGAACATCCAGAAAGATGCTGACAGCAAAAACAGCTGATCAGTCATGTCAGGTAAAGGTTTGCTATGTCAAAGCTGATTCAAAAAAGAATTTCCACCTCCCTTTTTCTAAATTTATCCTTTTTTTGCAAAAGCAATAAATCACCTTATTTAAAAATTTTTTTTTTTTTTTTTTTAAGTTTTCGAATTTTGCCATTTCCATCAAACTCTTCCGATGCAATATTTTGAAATAAGTATTAGAAAAAGGTAAATTAAATTCACCTACTATGTTCTGTATACGCAGCAGCTTTCAGGTTTGGTGAGATACCAGTCTTCCGGAGTCAGAAGACTTTCCAGTTAACTTGGAATTCTAATTTTACCTCCAGATCACATCCAAGAAAAGCAAAAAAATTTTTTTTTTTTTTTTAATGAACAGAATTTTTATTTCAGGTTGTTGATATTAAATGATCCTTTGTCTTACAGTCTGTATGAACGTGATGATGGCCAACTGCACCAGCGTCCAGTATGAGCCCGTGGCAGAAATTGGTGGGGGTGCCTATGGGACCGTGTACAAGGCCCGCGATACGGAGAGCGGGAAATTTGTTGCTCTGAAGAACGTTCGTGTGCAGACGGACCAAAATGGCCTCCCGGTGTCCACAGTTAGAGAGGTGGCTCTTTTGAAACGGATGGAGCAGTTTGATCACCCCAACGTGGTCAGGTAAATCTGCTGCTGAATAATCCTGTTGTTTTTTGTAAATACTGTAATCAGCTCTTATAGGAAACATATCTTCTTTGTGTATATCAGGCTAATGGACGTATGCGCCACTCAGAGGTCGGACCAGGAAACGAAAGTCACCCTAGTGTTTGAGCATGTGGACCAAGACCTGAAGACGTATTTAGCGAAAGCTCCAGCTCCTGGATTATCTGCTGACCGTATTAAAGTGAGAACTGCCAGACACCATAATTAAACTTTACTGAAAGTTCAAAACCCTTTAAAAAATATCCCCACCTCTCACTTGCACTGCACTAAGACCTGGTTATTTTTGCAGGACTTAATGAGGCAATTGCTGTCTGGCCTGGCGTTTCTTCACTCTAACCATGTGATGCACAGAGACCTGAAACCTGAGAATATTCTAGTGACTAGCCAGGGTCAGGTGAAGCTGGCTGACTTCGGCCTCGCCAAGATCTACAGCTGCCACATGGCTCTCACTCCTGTGGTAAGCAGATCCTACACTCTTTCTTTTTCTTTACAGATATGTTTTGTTTTCAAACCTTTTGTAATGTTCAGTTGTGACTACGATTGCATTCTTTTCTTCAGCTTGTCTGCTTGGTTTATTTCACCCTTCCTTCTCATAGTTAGATGTACTCCAGATTCAGTCTCTGTAGCATGGGTGTTGCAATAATTATGTATAGCTGGGAAGTGTCCCCAGCCCATTTGAAAGCGGGGCAACCCTAGTCTGCAGCCCCCAAATCACAGACCTCAGTTAGGAAGCTACGACCTGTTGCCGTTTGTGTTTTACCTTATTGGTTTCATTACCGTCTCCTCAGATGCTCTTTTTGTACTACATGTCTACCTTTGATCTCTGCCTGTTTTGGTCATCTGTATACCGACTATAGGATCATATATCTTTCATTATAATATATGTTATCAAAGGGTAAGTGTGACAGGAAACTGACTAGAGACAGATCAATATATCAGCCGCCTGATGTTTGAACAAAAATAAACAAACAGCATTAGCGTTTTTAGTTCTTGTTTTTTCTTGTATCCATATCAGCCGATACATGCAATTGTTTGCTGATTCATTAGTGGATCCAGCAACCTAGATCATCGTCCACCCTCTCCCCTCTCTGGTGGACGTTTACGAGTCCCGCTGCCTCAACAGACCCAATGCAATCAGTAAAGACTGCTCCCACCTTGGCGCTGATCTGTTTGAACCATTGCCCCCAGCAAAGCGTTAGAAGGAAATTAGGATGAGGACAAACAGTATCAAGAACAGCTTTTTTTCTAAAAGCTCTAACCATTCTGAACTCTGACATGCTCTGATTTTTTCTTTCTGCAGTCCTTAACCATATGCAATGTTCCAATCCCTGATATTGTCTATCAGTATATATATACATTTATGTGCAATGTATATTTATGCTATATCAAAATAAACAGCAAATATTTCTAAAGAAACTGAACTTTGCACCAATGTCCACATGTTTCCAATGTATATATTTCATATATTGGTAATATTTCTCTATTCTACCTTTACACTAATATTGGTGGCTTTTAATCTCATTGTAGTCCATATAATAAGAATAAAGTAATTCTTCTCTTCCTTTCATGTCTTGAGGTCTAGAAAGATGTAATATTTACTGCTGCTTTCATCTGCTGTACATTTAAGTTTTCTTGGATTTATTAATAAATGTTTATGGGGAAAGTTGGCTAAATTATATAGTTTTAATTATGGAATAAAAAAAGATGCTACACAGAGGTTAATTGTGATAAAATGTATCTTGTATAGATTAGGGTAGGTTGTAACGGCTTTAAAATGTTATTCCACATATTTCTTTGGTACTTTCATGATAGTGATTAAATTGGTGATTAAAAACACTTCATTAATTATTTGAGGTTGTTTTTGGGTAATTTACAAACACTTAAAAATGCTTCTTTAAGATACTTTTTACATAAAGAAGTGTTATTTAGATCAATAAAGAACATTAAACATATATTTAATTAGCAAAAGAAAAAAAAATTCACTCTTAACTTTTTAAAAATTGGTTATTGTTTAGACAATAAATCAAAATAGTTTTGAGTGGAAATGTATCACGACAATGATAAACAATACAATAAAGCCCACCCATTTTCGAATTTTATTCCTGCATGCAACTATGTGCATGTATCACATTTATACATACTATCAAATTTCCAGATGGGTTGGTTAAACAGTCTCTGTCTGCAGAGCGTTAAGCTTAGAGTTGAGGCCTGCGACTCAACTAT